GTTAAAATTGAAATAACAGCAACATGTTGTTGACTTACATTTCTAGTGTTTGGTATCTATTTAAAAGTAATTAGTAAAATATTGCTCTTAAATCATCTGAGGAAAAAAAATGTTTGAAAGTTTCAAGATAAATTGTACAATATGAGTCGTATCTCTATGATAAATTTTTTAGCAAGATTAGAATTTTCTAATTTCAATTTATTTTTTTTTTTTCTTCAAGACATCTAAAACTTAATTTAAAATCTTCAAAAAATATAATTCTTTTTCATTTTCATATTTCGAGATTCAAAAAAGGAAAATTTAAATTATGAAATTTTTTTCAATATTAATATCAAAAAAACAAAAAAAAATGCTTTTTTTATAATATTTCTAATATAAATTTATTTTCCTAAAACAATAATAAATATAATTTAAACTTCTTTTTCTACATTGATAATAACATAAAAATAAAATAATAAAACTAATAATTAATAGAAAATAATAAAAATTTTTTATATTAAAATTTCGTAATCTATGATAAATATATAGAATTATTTTCGCATCTTTTCCATGCCATGAATTTCCAGGTGTATGCCATGTATATATAGATGAATAAACAATTTCATCAATAATACGTATTCTTGATTGATAATATAATTGATCAAAATAATATTCATTTAATGAAAGATATGATGGACCTGTACTTAACATAATTGTAAAATAATCAATTAAATAATTATGATTAAATAATGAAAGACGTGATATAAGAATTTTAAATAATGGATGTTCTTTTGTTGTTATCATAAAACCATTTGATATACCAATTGGATCTGTACGAGGAAAAGCTGCTAAATGTTTTATATTTGAATCAAGTATTTCTAATATATTTAATAAACTATTCCATGATTGTCTACATCCATTATCCATATCAATATATATACCACCATAATGATATAATATAAAATAACGAAATGCATCAATACGTTGAATATTAAATTTATATTTAAGAAATGTATGTTGATAAAAATATGGATATTTTTCAGAAATAAATTTATGTATATCATTATCTGTCCATAGACGATATTCAAATTGTTGAGTATTAAATTGATGTATTGATTGAACAGTTTTATTCCAATATATTGGTATATTATGTGTTTTCCATGTTTGATGAATAATACGAGGAATACGATAATATTTTGTATTATTTAATAAAACATTTTCATTTTTTAATTTATTAATATGTGATTCAGTTAAATAAACTCGTAATGAACGACGACGAAATATAATAATATAAATAAGAAAAATAATTATTAATAAAAATAATATTCTACGAAAAATTAATTTCAATTGCATATATAAAT